TGTAGCAGTCTCAAGGCAAGATCAAAATGTAGACAAATTTTCTTCCAGAGCATAACACACAAGGTATTGAGTCCAACTGTCAATGCAGTCCTTGTTCCCATAGGAAAACTGTTGAGCCTGGTCTTTATCATCTGCATTTCTGTGAACATTCTGGTCTGCTGAGCTCTGACCACAGTCTACCATCAAGCTTACAACAGTCTAGGGTTTCTCTAGTCAGCATCTCTAAACCTTTCCAAACTCCTTTTGTGAATCAGTCCCAAGGGGGTTTAAACCATCTGGTCAGATAATCACAGCAATGGCCCCACTCTGGGAACCAAAATAAGTCTTAGTCACTTTTCTCATTGCTGATACACAATGCTTGACACCCACAGCTTATGGTTATTGTCCCTAGTTGACTCACTGTAAGGCTGAAATGGCAAGATGGAAAGCCCTGGTGCAGGAATGCTGCTCATGTCTTAGCAGCCAGGAAGCAGAGAACAGAGGGATTGTCTAGGGAGGGAAACATATCCTTCATTGGTCTGCCTCCAACCAGGCCCTACCTCATAACAGTACGTTTAGCACATTCAGTGTAGTACCTCCATGATCCAGTCACCTTCCAAACACATGAGGTTTTGGGTCCATTGTAGATCTAAATCATAACAGGAATTGTTCTTTCCTGGAGCCTCAGAAACATATGTGGCTTAGTTTCAGTAAGTTATAGAGGGTGAGATTTGGAGAAGACACAGGTATGAGGGTAAGTATGGAAATATCTAAAGCTATGGGTGTATGGGGAATTGTGAACTCCACAATGAGGAGGAAGCGGCCAATTTGCCTGCTTGCTTTGGACTGGTCCATCTTAAAGTGATGAAGCCTGCTTTTGCATAGGCCCCACTAAGGACTCAGAGTTCCTGGTCCAACCTTTTATTGAAGACAGGTGTCTTTTGGTGTCAGGAGTCAGACCGATTTGAAGGAAGCAGAATTTTACTTCAGTGTCTTTATACTAATTGACAAAGACCCGCATTTATGAATATGTGTAAACTATCAAGTCCAGCAGACATGAGAGGGAGATCAGCTGTTGAGGGGAACCAAGGTGAAGAAACAGAACACTTGACTCAGTAAGACAGAAGTAAACTGAGAAGGAACAAAGAACTTCAACAAAACCTAGTTATATTAGTGATTGGGATCATAACAAACAAAAACAGCAAAAAGATATAGGCTATGTAAAGAAGAAGACATCAGAGAAATAAAAACAAAGTTCTTTTAAATCAATTATTTTCAACTGGAGGGAATTTTGCCCCCATTGGGTATTTATTTGGTAATCCTACCACACACAAGACAGTCCCACAATACAGATTTATCTGCCCTAAAATATCAGTAGTGTCAGCCTTGAGAAATGCTGTCTAAATAAAAACTATTAATGCCATCATGAAAGAAACGATCTTTAAATTTTGGAGGAAACATTTAAGACAATCTCTCAGAAAATAAAGTAAAATATAAAGAGGAAATGGGAGACTAATTCACAGTCACAGAAGATCATCATAGAAGGAATCACCCAAAGAGAGAGAGAGTGGAAATAGGGAAATAACCAAAGAAATAATAGAACACAATTTTCCAGCGATCAATAAAGGCATGAGACATGGAGCAGAATGAAAGAATAATGACCCATAACTATAAATGCCTCAGTCAAATTTCAGAGCACCAAAGAGAAGGATACTTTTCAAATATTAGAAGCTGCTGGCTGAGAAGTGCATGGAAGCTCAACACTTCTTGCAATTTTTAAGTCTGTAATTAGTTCAAACTAAAGCATTCTAAACAGTTTCCAGCTTGGTTTCCAAGTTTGTCTGTATTATAATCAATTCCATGCAGAACATCCTTGCACATCTTGATATCAGACAGTGTGGTGATGGGCCATATAGCTTTTATTAATCTGTTTTAGGAAAACGGATGCATCTCAAGACCATAATGTTAAGGAAAATGAATCAGACACACAAACTTAAATGTTGCATGGTTTTTCTTCTATGAGGAACCCAAAATATCAACAAAGAGAAATATAAAAAAAAAATAGATAATAAGAAATAGGGAGACAGATCTTTTGCAGACAGGAAGGAAACCAAGAGACGGAATAGGGAGAGGGGCGAGGGAAAAAGGATAAAAGAGAATCGAGATGTGTTATGTACATGTACCAACTCCCCATGAGGAATGTGTTTGTTATGTAGAGCAAACATGTACCAATAAAAAACATAATTAAAAAAAGGAATTGATGCTCATGCCCCCTTCCTTCATTCATGTGGTTGCAGAGGGCAAATTTTACCAGTGAAGAAGCTGAGTTCCACAATGGTGGATTGAGAAAGTCTGATTTCAAGGCCCACTGGAGTTTTGTCTGGATCACATCTCTTCACTTTAGTGGTTGGTGTACAAATTCATAAAATCCGTCATGAAAGCTTCTCCTGTGCTCTCAGTCCTCTAAATACCCTTGTGGTGTTTCTCCATATTATAACTCCTGATGTATGTGGTACTCTTGTTCAGGGAAATTTCTCATGTTTACATAGTATGACTTCATAAAAATAGCATAGTGCCTTCTCAATAAGAATTAATTTAATCTTAAAAAAAAGAATTAATTTAATCTTAATACATTAACTGGACATATATTTGATTCGTGCCATTGTGTACCCAGTACTGGGATAGTACTATGACATGATAGTGAATAAGGCAGATAATGTCCTTCTCTGTGTGGAGTATACGTTTTGCAGAGGCAGACAGTAGACAAATAGACATATACTATTTGGCATTTATACAAAGAAAATTAAATCTGGGTTGAGTATGATTTGCTTGCTACTTTAGTTAGGACAGGTAGGAAAGGCATCTGCAAATGTTATTTTCAGGCAGAAAAATCTAAGGTCATCACCTTTGGGCCTTCTTATCCCTGAAGATTCAGAAATGCATAGTCATTTTTCATTATTTTATTCCTCTTAGTGCTCCCTTTGGGAAAGGTAACCGGACTCCAAGAATTCTGAGACCCTTTTCAGGCTGGAAGGCTATGACAAGCGATGCTCTGCAGAGCTGCAGAGCTCCTCCTCAGGAATGTTCTGAACCTCAGAAAGCGCGCAGATTTTCAGAAGACAATTACAGCGCTCATAATGGGGTCTCCTGAACCTTGTTCCCTCAGTTTGCCTTGTGGGGCGATGTGCTCGCTTGCGCGTGTGTGTGCATTGATCTGCTGAGCGTGTGTCTGTAGTTGTGCATGAATATAGGTTCACTGATTTCTGTCACTTCCAGGTCATTTTTCAGCCCACAGTCTTGGCTGATGAGGTGGTGGGAAAAGGAGGAGGGAGAAAAACAGGGGTGCAGGGCACTGGATGGAGGTGTCCTGGCTCTCCAGGGCTTCTGTTGTTTTGTTTTCAGAGTTTTAAATGAGACGCTGCATTCGTGTCTTGCCTCTTTCTTTCCTTTCCTCATCTTAGGGCATCTCCCCCTCCGCATGTGCACATCGTTACTCAAACGTAGGCAAATTACTTTCTACTCGTGGATTTCTTCTGCGGAGATCCTCCCTTGTAGAATGATTTTCGTAGAGCTCAGTGCCTAGATAAAGTGTCTCCTGTCCTAATGCCAAGTGATTTCACTCTTGTGAGTCATCCGGACTTCAGGTGCAGGACCCCAACCCCCCGCCCCGGCAACATACACACAAACACACCCACTCCAGTTTGGCTTCCTGAGGCCCCGATGCTTGAGGATACCCAGTCCTCAGCCTTCTCCATAGCCTGGTAGTCATCACATCTTCAATGCCAGCCTCAGGGCCCAATGAAGAAATCAAGTTTGATTCAAGTTGAATTATGCGGATAGATGTCAAAATTTATTATCATAGGATTCTTTCCCACCCTCTCTTCCTCAATTTAGGTCCTCCTGACCTATTAGCAGAAATTCAGATTGGTTTGCAAATTCATGCATGCATTCTGTTTCTTTCCTAGAGCTTCCAAAATTAATTACCACAAATTTGGTACTTTACCTTTTTTTTTTTTTTTTTTTTTTTC